CCGGCCCCGAGGGAAGCGCGCTGCGCCCTCAGGGCGCGCTGAGCGCGCAACAAGTGGCTTCCGCGCTCTCCCTCAGTTCAGCCTGGGTCTTGAGCACTGAGCGCAATGCTGAGCCATGGAACCGGACTGGCCTTGTGGATCACACTGAGCCTACTGCAGGTGAGTGGCCAGACAAGGGGTGGAGGGCTGATGGCCCTTCCCACCAAGAACCAAATTCCACTCTACTTGCCATTGTCCCAGGTTGTGCTTTGATGGGGGGAGATGGCAACAGTTCTTTTGGGAAGAGCCGGGCTCTTCTGAAGCCCCCAGCCAAACTTGGAATTCATACTGATATCAAAGGCAAAAGCCACCTTCTCTCCAGCTGCTCCTGAGGGAGAGCAACTAGGAAGAGAGTGGCCACGGCCTTCCCTGTACCCTCACCCCTAGCCGCAGCCGGAGGGCAAAGGGACCAGCTGTGGCTGTGGCAGGGATTGGGGGGGCTGGGGAGCTTGCTGAGGACAGGTCCCTGGGCAATGCAGACTTCGTGCTTAAACAGTGGTCTCTGATTCCTTTGCAGACTGGACTGGCGGAGTTAGAGAGATGTAACTTCACCCTGAGGGAGTCCAGGACCTCCAGCCTGTGGGCGTCTGTCCAGTGGAGAACTTTAGGGTCACCTTGTAATTTTAGCGTCATCTACAGCAGTGACACCTCGAGCTCCATGTGGTGCCACGTCAGTCGGATAGACAACACCACCTATGGGTGTAATCCCAAAGATTTACAAGCTGGAACCACCTACAACTTCAGGATTGTTTCTCTGGATGGAGAAGAAAGAAGTGTGGTCTTGCAAACAGGTAACGTGTGACAGGTGCAGTTGGATGACCAAGCCACTCTGGGCTGGGCCCTGCCTTCCACCCAATGTTCATGTGAGTTCCAAGCATACAAAATATCAAAGTAAAAAATACCTGGGAAGATAAATATTGACAAGGATTTCTATTCTCGTCAGATCTGTCTAGAAGCGGCTTGGTTAACTTGCAGACTCCTTTATTGCCGAAAACAGCAGTTGACTGACTAGCTGCTGGAAGAGGGAGAGGGCTTCAGCAAAAAGAAACCTCGGGCTTTAGAGGGAGTTTGTTAATGTGACGTGGTTTGCACTTCCATCATGTTAAATTGTCAAGCCCTGGAATAATTCTAAGGAAATGTTTGTAGAATAAATAATGAACGTGCCACGGTTAAGGATATGCCTTTCCTCCATTTAGTTTTATTTTTAGAACCAACACATAAAATCTCCAGGAACAGAGTAAAGCTATTGAGAGAAGCAAATTAGAAAAGTCCCTCAAGATGAGGGTGCACAAATTACTTTATATCTCTTGAATACCTAAAACAGTATGGTATTAGACAGCACTCTTTGATTACTCTGTACCTCAAATCAATTGTTTTTCTTACTCCATTCATGTGTGTGGTAGGAGTTCATCTTTCTTGTCTTCAGTCTCCTACCTGTGATATGAGAGTGGTAGTCTAGGTCTTTCAGGTTCCAGTCCTTATGAAGCACTGGGGCTGCCATGTATATTACATCATCTAATCCTCCCAAATACCCAAAGATGTGTTCCATGTTCCCTAACTTTGCTGTTTTGTGACTTCATAAATCTTTAACTGTATCATAATTTATGCAAAAGGAAAGTCCTACTTTCAGCCAGAAATTCAACATTTTGTGAAAAAAATCATAAAAGTTAAATCTAGAAATGCATTATCATTATTACTATGTGTTCTCACTTCAACCTAAACAAAAATCATTTCTTTAGCTAGAGTTCTGGAAAGAGATGTGAGGGCATTCAGTTTGAAGGGCAGTCATAGCCAGCTCAGGAAGTGTAACTGGGCTCATGTAACCAAATATCAAAAGTTTTCTTTTTTTCAAAGAAAACAATTCATAATACTCAGTTATATCACTCAGCTTGCTTCAAATGAAACTTTTAGATAATTTATGAGAAATGCGGGAACTTAAAATGAAAAAAGGATCTACTTGTTAAGGACTTGTTATTTGTATGGAACCAAAAGGAGACTAAAATCAACCACATAATCAGAACATTTTACAGAACTTGGCTAAGTGGCTGTGTTTCATTTGTATGTAACATTGTTGATTTCTTGGTATTTGAAGATAGTTTTGTGAAAATGCATATTACTAGTACTGCAAAATTTATAGCAGAACTTTCATATGTGTTAATTATCCTTGAAAAGGTGTCTAGTCAATTGTATGTGCTCAGTGTAGGAAAGCAATTTGTAAAAATACAGGTGAGCTTTCAGAGAATAGATGATGACCTTAAGAAGCCAGAATGCAGTTGTTTCACTGAAAGGATTTACTTTTTTTTTAGAAAAATGGTAAGAGAAAAAGACTTTAGTGGAGGTAATGCTAGTATAGAACAGGTTTTGAGTTTTGACTTTAGTTAGCTGTTTCAAATCCAGAGACATTTGTGAAGTATAAGAAATATTTGGAACTTATTGACTATGTTAAGTAAAACAAGACTTCATCAGCACCTACAGTGTGTTGACATGCAGGATGCTCACCGCGCTTCCCAGGCAGGTACCTTTTACAAGTACTTTTCACCACACATTTTATGAGCTGAAAGTTAAACGTGAAGGATGAAAGTTGCAGATAGTGTTAAAAACATGATGATTTTTTTGCCACACTTATTTGTGTGAAGGTATAACCCTTCTTATAATTCTGTACATTTTTAAATAAATATATTTAAATAAACTTATTTAAAAATTGAGTTATTTTTAAAATCGTTTCAGGGAGGTTATTTAAATAGCTGCTTAATTGTTTTTTAATTTTCCAGTGGTGCTTTCTATATTTTCATGCATGTGAATTTTTCATTTAATTACAAGAAAATACTAATATTCTTCAATATTAATTCTAAGCCACAGAGGTGATATTCAATCATATCTTACTGTTATTAAAACAATAGCAATGAATATAATATTAAGTCTAAAACCAATTTAAACAAAATGTCAATCAAAATGTATGTGCTTTCTTTATTTTATTTTGCCTGGCTTATCAGTCTCGAATAAACACAAGACATGATAGAGATGCAGTAGTTGCTCACATGATTTCCATATCAATCATTTTTTTAATGATTTAAAAGGCAAAAAAATAAAGTATCTAAAATAGCTAGTTATTTTGGTGTCAGAGAAATCTGATCTTAAGGATGAAAATTTCTAATTGAATGAGTAGTATTTTAGCAAGAATCACCACTCTGGTTTTAAAATTGGAGTTGAAAAATATGGACTCAAATTCAATGCAGCAAACATTTATTGGGCATAATAGTACAGGGAACAATGCCACATAAAGATTGGTGAGTTTTTAAAGATGAACCCTTCCCTTATGGTCTTGAGCAGATGGGAGAGGTTATTATGAAGATGGCAGCAGGACTTTACCACACCTTCCTGGTCGAGGGCTTGCCCAGCCTCATGCATACCATGCTGTCATAACTAAGAGAAAAAGCTACTTGGCAATTCTCAGGTCTTTTTAATCATTAAAGCATCAATGTAACAATAACATCCTTTGAAATTCAAGTGGTTTAGTTGTTAGGTCATTGAATAACAAAATGAATGTGCCAAATATTGACTATCAAACACTTTTGAAAGATTGTGTCTTTGGAGTCTAGAGTAGAGGCTGCCTCTGGATATATAGGATCACTAGCACTAAAAGTGGAAAATTCACATAAAAACACAAAGGTATGAACTCTCTTAAATTATCGGAAGATATGACAAAAACATCTACCTAGAATCTGTAGAGCTGAGTGATGGCTTTTCATTCTAGATACCAGTTTACTAGAATATCACTTCACTTATTTCCTTACTTGAATCCACCCTAGGGATATTTGAATTTGTGACTTCTTTAGTTTTCATTTGGAGCTCTTTTTTTATACCAGCAATGTGATACAGGTGTTCGCTTAATATACATGGTAAGTATTTAATAAATGCTGTCTAAATGGATGGATGGACAGATTGGATGAATAGGGGAAGAGAAGGAGAAAGGGACAGAGACTCAGAAAGAGAGGAGATTAAGTGATGAATATTTTATGGAATATTGTACACAAAGTAAAAATATCAAATCTCCTTTGTCAACAGGTACATTATAGAGCTCAGGAAAATAGTGTAGAAGTACAGAACTTTATCTGCAAAAAGTTTCTCAGTAACATTTCCTTTCTTGTTAGTTGGTTTTAGCTGTTTGTTAAGCAGCCTTGAAAACAATGGCCAAAAAATACTCTCAAATGACTTAGTCATTTTAATAAGTCTAATTCCTTTGTCTTTAATTAAAAAAAATTGGGCAAACTTTAATTACTAGCTTATTATTTCCACTGCAAAATATTGTTTATTATGCTAGTTGGAGCATAATATATGGAGTGTCTGTGTCTTCAGCTCCTCTTCTTGAAAGGACACTGGTCATAGAGTAAGTTCCCCCATCCCCAACAAAACCCATTTTAACTTAGTCACCTTTTTAAAGGCCTTGTCTTCAAATGTGGTCTCAATCTGAGGCTTTATAGCTTCAACAAATAAAATTTGATAGAGACAGAGTTAAGCCCATAACATTTATAGAGCTTTAAATTTAAGTGATTATTTCTCAGAACTGTAAGTTCATTGCATCAAAATGTCTTGCAGAGCTTGTTACTGAACTATTCCTGATTTCCAACTCACATGGAATGAATTTGGAAGGAAAGGAGTTGGAAGAAATCTGCATTTTAAATATCAGAGTAAATCAGTGTACACTGAGGTTCAAGAGTTACTGACATAATGTTTCTATTATTTTTTAACATTAAGATTTTGGTACTGTGTCTCTTTATACATAGCCAAATCCATGATGCCTAAGAATATTTATTGCGTTTTCCAGAAAAGCAGAAATAATACTTTTGTATTTATTTTATAACATATAAAACATTTTGCCTTCTGTATTTGGTTTGTAAAAGTATAAAATATATATTATACTGATCACATATTGTTTGATTACTTTCCCATACCAACCCTATGAAGAGGCTATGGTGAAGAGAAGGTTTCATAACGGTTTGAAGCTGAGTTAACAGCGCGGTCTGTTTCTGATTATATAGTGAGGATGATGATGATAATAATACTGCCTACTTCACATGTGTTATAGGATTCTACTTGTTCCATGAAAACAACCTGGAATAATTTCTGTAATATACTAAGTATGTAGTAAATTCACAATTTTTACTTTCAGGTTAGATAGGAGATTGATCTTCATAAGAATTGATAATTTTCAGAAATCTACACAGCTAATATATAATAGTCACAACCTGATCCCTGGTTAAGTGATTCCAATTCTAATATTCTTTCCACTATTCTGAAGAAAGGATATTATCTTTTTCATTGGTGTTAGTATTTCCAAACTGGTATTTTATTACTTTCCTAGAGAACAAATATATTACAATATATTTTAAATCTGCATGTTCTGTGCCTATATAAAGGGAGAAAAATGATTAAATGTGTTCTAGTGCAAAGAAATTACGAACTACCATTGATTTTCAATTGGGCTAATTGGCAATAAGTATTTGGCAATAAGCTATTTGCAGTCTGTACATTTCAGAAATTTTAAGGTCCAGCTGATTGATGTACAGAGATTTTTAAAAATCCACTTAAATTTCTCCAGACAAAATGAGAGAACTACAAAAATGTGTTTTACCTTCGATATCATATACCATTTTCTTGGGAACCCTTTGGAGAATGAAGATAATACTTACACCTTTCTGATCTTATAGAAAAAAATCAAGCTAATTCTAAATGAATGATTTAATGAAGATACATATATGCCCTTAAGCATATAATATGCAGCTAAAATGAT